CGCCACTTCCAAGACATAAAGCGTTGGCAAGCGACGCCAGGTTTGTAGAAATGACAGCCGCTGCACCTTTCACTTGCATCGGCAGCGACAGCAGAGGGCTGGAGGCGATTTGTGAGAATGATGTTGGGGTACATTGCACCTACGTCCAAATGGACAATAACTGGACATTCCACTCGGTTGGGCATTGTACCAAGAGTGCTGAGAGCCTGTTCCACTTCAGCGCAAACCTGTAGCACGGTGAATAAGGCGTAGAAAGCTTAATATCTGACGGAACCACTAAGGTATAAACGAAAATGGCAATCAATAAAAAGACCGAGATATTGATAGAAGGAGAATGGGTATTTAGTTCTATTAAACCAGTCCTTGAGTTGTGAAGAATGAGAGCTTTGACTGTTTAAAGGTATAAACCTTTTCGTCGGGTTTGGCTCGGGTTACAAAAGTTACTCAACCTAGTCAGTACCAATAGAAGCATAGGCGGTTGCAAGCATTGTCTTGCCGAGAACACCACAATAAAAGGTTATGTGAAAATATTTTCATCTGCAATCAACCGTTCCAGTCTACTTGGTGGGCATAAATAACCGCAGATATGACTGCCTCTATCGCCGACGGCCACGAACTTCAAACTACACTGACTGCTGAAGAGATCTCATCTTATGCTGCTGTACATAAGGGAAGTAATAACTAGAAGACAACTCGATCGCTGGGACAATATTGTCCCAGCGATCGAGTCGTCTTCTACTTCTCAAGTACTTCCTGGGACTCGCATGTTCGCTTGTATTATGAAATAAGAACGTTTCTTTAGATTGCTGAAGTATTTTGCGATCAGCAGACATTTAAATCTACGACTTGATTCGATGCGAAGTACAACATATTTAACAGGTTAACTCTTAATATTTGCTGAAGCAATGGAAAACGTTTTATGTTCTCTTATTTTCGAGATGCCCGGTTAATATCTCACGTAAAAGTTGACTTTTCTCGTTGTACCGAGGTGCAACATAACGGAATCTGCTGGATTCATATTGTAACTTCACTATGTGCTGGATTTTCCCTTTCCATTAAAGTAGGCCTACTGCAGACCCCCGAAAGACACTAAGCTAATTGGCGTGCCAACCTCGCAGACGGAAGCTCACGGCGGCAGATGTAGGCCCGTGGTCAGCTCCTGCAACGCCCATCCAGTTGCCAGGCATTCAGATGGACAGATCCAAGTGCGGAACTAAAGCACATGAGAAAGAAGAGTACACTGTTGGTAGCAACTATAGTATTCGATGAAGGGAACGCATATGATTGTACTGATTTTGCATTTCTGCGCGTCGAGGTACAAGGACTAGTTCTACGGCATTTGCGACAGTATCATGTAGACTTATTGACTGATGAGGTTCTGTGCTGCTGGTTCACGAAGAGTTCGTGAGCTCAAGCACGTGATGTACACATTTACTA